AAGCAAATCAACCTTCATTGTAAATTTCGTTTAGGGCCGAGCTATCACATGTATCGGTGAATTGACTGACCTCTCTAAAGATGATCTAATAAATCTATTCAAAAGCGTTAATCTTTCAGAGTCTGAAGTTCAAAAGGTTTGTGTTTAATCTTTATTGATCGATTGTCAAATATTTATTTATTTATTTTTCATTATTACAGATATGTAAAATAGTATTGGATATTCCATCGGTAGAACTTAATTGCCGTATAGATGCAGATAACGAATCATTAACACCTGAAACTGAATATACACTTTTAGTGTCTATGGAAAGGTTTAAATTGAGGTCAGACTATGATGGAAGGATATATTCACCTCGATTCCCGAAACCTCAATATGAATCGTGGTGGATTTTGTTAGGTGATCCCAACTCAGACACTATAATTGATTTGAAAAGAATAAATATGCGTAGTGGAACATTTGGTACATTCATGAAAAAAATTCAAACGAAGTTGAAATTAGTCACACCAGAGCGGGAGGGTAAATACTCTTATACAGTTTTTTTATTTAGTGATGGTTATTTAGGAATAGATCAACAACACTCCATAGAATTTAGAGTAGTAGGATAATTTCGAGGTTTATGATGTACAATAAATGTATTTTTACCTGATTTTTTGCATAGTTAAACCTCTTCGTAATCACACCTATCGGGATACAGAAAATGGTGATTGTATAGAGGGTGTGGCTAATTTAGAGTACACCTTAATTCATTAAATTAAAATTTTAAAAAATTTATTTAAATAATATATAGTCACATATAGAAAGTTGATGCACCATCCTGGGTGTTTGAAGCACATGAAAACTTGGCATAGTACCCTAGTCATGGCGAAAAATAACTACCCCAGGAGCAAAAATACCGTTCCTCGGTACTGTTCCTGATAGGGACGTAGGAAAAAAAATCGATTTACATACCGTTCCTGATAGGGTTCTAAAAAAGGACCTCCAAAATACTATACTATATAATGAAAAAAGTTGGGATTAAGGTTCGTTTTTTAGAACCCTATCAGGAACAGTAATCAAATAAATTTTTTTAACCACCAAGCAGGGACAGTGATTTTCCGCGGTGACAAAATCAAAATTATGTTCAAATTATTGATGTGATATGAAACATATTTACCAAAATTATGTACGATTCTGTGACATACCTGGCTAATCTATTCCATCAAGGTCAAATTACGAATATCATGCTTCATTCGTGTTATATTCCTCAATAATAATAAATATTAGGATTTATTTCACTTCTGGCTACAATTGTTATGCCGAAACTTTTCTTGTGTAGTGATGAAAGATGAAACTTAAAAGCCACGAAAAACAAAAGACGAACTCTGATCAAACCCAAATTCTTCCGATGAATGAGATCAAAAATAAAGAAGGGCGAAACCTGGTAAACCTTCGTGAAGTTAAAGACAGACGTGATTTAAAAAAAAAAATCAAAACGAAAGACTGAGCCAGAAATAGTCAATCTATTTCCATATATCAAAATGAATTTTTACCTTTTTTTTCACTGGTTATTTTTATAGTTTATTAATGTCATTGTTTAGACGCGCTTGGTTGCCCTTAAAAGTATAATAATTTTCTAAGACAATAATAGCTTTGAAATATTGAACTTTACGTCTTTTTCTTTGTTTTTTTTTTAAAAAAAATCACTTGGAGACGCTAAGTTATGTACTTTATTGAATTTTAATAATGTACATGCATTATACATTTTTCGAACTAAACGCTTGTCACATTAATTTATCATTAATTGATCGCGTTGACAAAAAAAAATTGCGGTTAAATAGCATATAATAATTAGTTGTGGTATGAATAAAGAGGAAGCAGCTGATCAATGCAGTGAATTTAAACTTGAATTTTGTATGCTATTGTGTGGAATGATTATTTTGGGATATTCAATGAAAATATCTGGATGTTCGAAGGATATCCTAATTTTAAACCAACTAAATAAATAAATAACCGAGTTTTCATTTCTTGGCCGGATAGGATCTCTAGTTCGAATCCAACGTATCCCAGAAATGGTAAATACAAAACTTAATATATAAGCAAACTTCTTTTATTATTGTAAAAAATCCATTGCAATCGTAGAAATCAATCTTAAAAAATCTATCGATTATAATATTATAAAAAAAAAAAATTTATAAACAAATTCATCATAAAAAAAAAACTAATAAAAAAAATCTCTTGTAAAAAAAAAAGAAAAAACACTATATCTAGTTTCTACATATACTCATATCACTATTACTATCATCTTCAACCAACGTTAGTTTATAACCAAAATAATTACATATAGCTTCTTCATATTTTTGCAATAAAAGCAAGGGTCAAGAAGGGAGCCTTCGTTAGGAGAAACTTCGTTGGGGACCTTCGTTGGGGAAACCTTCATTGGGGAAACCTTCGTTCGGAAGAACGGTCCATTCTGGTGTTCTGCAACATTCACGTATGACTTCTAAATATAATCAAAAAAGATCTTCGTTCGGGAGATCTTCGTTCGGTAGACCTTCATGTGGGAGATCTTCGTCCGGTAGACCTTCGTTTGGGAGATCTTCGTCGGAAGAACCTTCATTAACTATTTACCCTTAAACATAAACCAGTATTTGAATTTGTTTTTGTTTGAATTAGGCCAATTAGAAATTTTAGTTATAAAAAAAATATAATGCAACAACTATAAAAATAAAAAACACTTACTTTCATTGGCTAAAATTATTGTATCCTTATTTATTACTTTTTTCCGAAGTGCATTAATTTCGTCTTAATGCAAGTTTTTCATAAAACTAGTAAAGTAATTTCATATTAATTATGTCTTTTGCTTAATCGTACCTTCTGTTCTTTATACTCACCAAGGGCATTACATAATAGTAATGGTAAATAAGTATTTATGTTCTTGATTTGTGAACTTGCTTTGCTGTGAACTTGCTTTGCTGTTCAGTATATAAAAATTTTTTTTTTAATTAATAACTATACCTAATACTTATAAAATAATTAAATTTAGCCTCTTCGATAAGAACATAACTAATTCCTCTTTCGAAATTAGTAGATTTATCCGAAAGAAGCTCCTTTTGTGATCGATGAAAAAAACCAAATAACTCAGGTGATTGATCCAGAGTGTGCCTTTGCGCTAACGCTGAGGGAACCGCATAAAAATAGCCAGCTATCTTTATGGTCGATAAAACAATCACCCTTAATGAGCTAAAAGGCTCAAATAGCTAATCCAGTGTGTGTCTTTGCGCTAACGCCGAGACAACCGCACAAAAGGGTTTTACTACAGTTTATACTACAAAAAATATAACTACCTGTCTTGGCGTTTTGCAGGAGCCAAGGTGACCAGAAGAAGAGTCAGAAGAGTCAGAAGAGTCGAGGGGGCCGAAGTCTGTATTTCATGGGTAGGGTTGGTTTTTCCGTTAGCGACAAAATTTAAACAATGCTTATAAGAATGTAGATCAAAACATCAAAACACGTCCTACTTAAAAAAAATTCACTGGCCAAACAGATTTCAAGATCAGGTGTGACGCAACGCAGAAGAAACGCATAAAATCAAAACAAACCCATAACTCAATATTTTATCTATGAAACTACCTTCTGCGCATTAATAAAAAGTTTTTCTTGTGAAATTTTGGTACTACAAAGCTCCATATAACCTAACTTAATAGCAAAACCTAACCCTAATATGACAGTGAGCATAAAATTTAAAAATCTCTGCGAATTTTTAGCTGCCAGTTTCTAAAAAAAACTTCGGTTTTATTTAATTAGAATGTGAAGATGCATGAATGATAATGATTTAATATCTTGATTTAAAATTATTAAATGCTAGACAAGTTGAACAATAAAGAGGACAAAAAAAAGACTATTCTTTTTACGAACATCTTGTAACGTTGAGCTTGTGCTATGCTTAGACCGAATTTTAAGTAGCGATTACATGTTGCACGTCAAATTAAAATATGCGTCAAATCAAAATAATCAAGTCGTTTGGCGATTTGGTCGCCATAAGCTGACGGATAAACAGTTATTTTTATTATTGCGGTTTGCAAAATTTTGTAAATTTTGCAGATCAA